GGTGGGCATGCGGCTCTGCGCCCGGCTGGGGGAACAATTTCTGAACCTTCCTTCTGCCAGAGTGCCTCTTAGCGGGGTGGGCCAGTCCCTTCTTGTGGCAAGAAAAGATCCCCTTGGGTTTTCTCTGCAAGTCGATTAAACCCTAGTGACTTAAAAATGTTGCTTATGAGGGCTCTTGTTTCCCAAGAGTCAGACCTGCTCCTTCGTCCTGCTGCCCACCACAGGACACTCCTCCTCACCGTGACCACCACGCCCACGCACAGCTGGTGACCTCTCCCCTCTCACACCTAGGCCCCTCCAGCCCTCGTGCCACTCATGGGCACCAGGACTCTCCCCAGCCACCAGAACTTGGGCCTCATTTGTCCTTGCGTGCCCAGGCCTGTGCCCAGTGGTCTTCAGTAGACCTGCACAGAGCTCATGACTGAAGAGGGACTGACTTCAGAGCAGGCGCTGCTTCCCGGCTGCCAGGGGATGCAGTTCACCTGGGCGAGCCGTTGCCATGGCTCCGGTAGCTTAGGGTTGGATTGTTTTGTTTTGTTTTGTTGATGCTGAGGATTGAACCCAGGGGTGCTTTGGCACTGAGCCTCATCCCCAGCCCTTTTTATTTTTTATTTTGAGACAGGGTCTCACAGAGTTGCTTAGGCCCTTGGTGAATTGTTGGGGTTGGTCTCGAACTCACCGTCCTCCTGCCCTAGCCTCCGAGCCACTGGGTCACAGGTGGGCACCGTCACTCCCGGCTACATTATGACACCTAGTGTCACCTTGGACTTGACTGGAGACATCTTCCAGAACAAGGAGAAGCGGGTCCTCTTAGTCTTTGTGGGAGGGGTGGGAGGGGTAGACCAGGGAAGCGTATTCTGTTGGAGGAGAAGGAAATGTGCTCTGGGTAGGCACGACAATCTCTCGGCCCAAACGAGGCTCTCTGTCTTCTTGATTTCAGAGTTCCCCTGGATTTCCAGGCCACTTGCACCTCAGGGTCTCCCAGGAGAGGTCCCGGTTTGGGTTGTGGGATGAAGTCCCCGGTCACGGGGTCCCAGAGCTCAAGGGACCTCCCGCTCCGACTTCAGGGGGACAGCAGCAGGCTCCGTGCCCGAGCGCCCCACATGCCTGGCACTGGATCCCTCTTCCTCCTCCTCCTCCGACTCTTCCAGGTGCGAGCCCGTCCCCAAAGCCCTCTTCACTCTGGGATCCCAAGGGTCCTGAAGCCGGGGAAGGGGAGTGGGCCTGACCCTGAGCTCGT